GCGAGGCCATCCTCTGCAAGAAGACGCTCGCGACCACCTCCTTCGAGGGCTGGAGGAAGGCCGAGTCCGAGCGTACGGCGAAGGACCCGTTCGAAGGTTTCTGCCCGCCCACCTGGCACGCGAAGCCGGGGAACGTAATAGTCATTGCAGCCTACCTCCAGCCCAAGTTCGGTCTCCGAGGTCCGAACGAGCGCATGATGATCAAATTGGCTGCCTTCCTGAGGCTATTGGCAGATCCCTGGGTGGTCCTGGGCGACTGGAACAACCGGCCGAGCGAGTGGGACAAGACGAAGTGGCTCAGCAGGATCGGCGGCTCTCTCGTGCTGCCGACGAACGTCGCCACCACCTGCAACCTTGGCCAGGGCACCATGATCGACTACGGCATTGCCCGCTCGGATTTCGTGCTGTCCTTGAAGCTGGGCGCTGTGGTAGAAGTCCCGTGGAAGGCGCGCGTCGGCCTGGTTTTATCGATCTGCGACGGCAAGTGCAACTGGTGGAATCGAGTCATCCAGTCGCCGCGTGAGCTTCCCGCAGCCGCCAGGCCGAAGAAGCAGGCCGACCCGAACAGCAATAGGCAGAAGGCCTTGTCATCCCACCGCAAGCGGGAGGAGGCCTTGGACCAGCAGCTCCAGGAGGTCTACGACGAGATCTATCGCATCGACGACGACGTCACACCTGCCCCAGCGGCAAGTTACTGCATCCCTCTTGACCTATGGTTTCGCGTCAGAGGAGTCAAATTAGCGTCGGCCACCAGAGCCGACGCCCCAGTGCCAAGTCAGTCCGCCCGACGCGCCCAGCAGCACCAGGCGGAACTACATCCCCATCCTAACCTTTTGCCAGGATTTCGTTCGGAACGTCAGAGCCTACGCGTGCCCGCTCATGGAGAACAGCAGCTCCAGGCGGCACCACCTCCTCATCCTAACCTTTTGCCAGGATATCGTTCGGAACGTCAGAGATCGAGTGCCCTCGACGCCGCGGACCACGACCCCATGGACGACCTTGAGGGCTACTCTCCAGAAGGCGATGAGGGTACCATCGAGTGGAGCGGTAGGGGAGGCCCACCTGGGGACCCGACTGCCCCGCTCCTTCCAGGACCAAGCCAGCCGCCTTGCGCAGGTTCGGCGGCCTCGACGTCGGCGGCCCCCGCGGCGGCGGCTTCCGCGACTAGAGGCCTTGCAGCTGCAGCCTCCCTGAGCTCTCTGGTGGTCAAAGACCGTAAATCGGGGGAGCGGCTCAGGGGCCAGGTCGGACAGGCGTCTCGAGAACAAGGGCTTCACACGGTGGCGGCAGAGCGCGCTGCTGCAAATCCTGTGCTCGTTTCAGGTTCAGCCGCAGGGGCGGCGACCGCGAGCCAGGGCATGTTGGCGCAGGAGTCGGCCCCAGTGTCTTTCACAAGCGACGAGCTGGTGTCCCACTACCTCTTGGACAGGGATCCCGTCGCTAAGTTGGAGACCGCGCAGGCATACCACTCATGGGTCGAGGCAGTTGAGAACGCCACGATTCAGCACCACGCGCTCCCAGAGGATGTCGCCAAGAAGCACCGAGGCCGAGGGCGCGGCTTCACCATCGGATGGAACCGCGCCAGCGCCACACCCGCTCGCGCTCACATGCGTCACCAGTTGTTGGAATGGTGGCATTTGGCTACGACGCTGCTCGTCCGATATCAGTCGATCCGACGACGGCAGTCTACTGCGGAGGAGGCCGTCCTAAGCGGCAAGTTTCCAGAGCTGCTACAGGTCGCCCTGGACAACGAGCTCCAGAAGCCGTTTCTCGAGGACGACGACGGTGCCTTCACGTCCTGGGTAGCTGCGGTATCCGACCTCCGCAAGCTGAACGACGAGGACATCCCAGGCATCATCGAGTCAGCTGAGCGCTTCCTCAGCAGAGCCACGGGCAGAGCGCTGGCTGACGGTCGGCGTGCCTTTAGCAAGTGGGCGCTCAAGATGTGGCGGGATTCTCCTGGGGTTCTGCATCGGCACGTCAAACCGGCTCGCCCTGTTCGCGACGAGCACTTCGACGGAGCTGGGCACACCTACGCCACCCCCAGCCAAATCATGGATCGTCGAGCTCAAGCGTGGCAGGATGTATGGACCGACAGCAACATCTGCCAGCAGTCCATCCTGGAGGGCCTCAGCTACGTCACTGTCAAGGCCCAGGAAGAGTCTGTAGACCCCATCACACTCGAGCAGCTCGACACTGTCGTCGGCCGCCCCAATGCCAAGAAGGCCAAGGGGATCGACTCCATGGGCCCCATCGAGATCCAGAGGCTCCCCGAGCCCGCCCGCAGAGAACTGGTCGCGATCTACGAGATGATCGCAGCTCGAGTCATGTGGCCCGCCCAGGTCTTTGCCGTCATGGGGGCCGTCGCCCCGAAGCCGAAGGGCGGCGACAGGATCCTGGGGCAGCTCCCCTTCCTCATGAAGCTGTGGTCCAAGATCAGGTACCCCCTGTCGGAGCGGTGGAGCGAGGATTTGGCGGAGTTCTGGGATGCGGCAGTCCGAGGCTCCTCCTCGCTGCAGGCTGCGCTAGTCAGGAGCTGCATGGACGAGTGCTGCCACGTCCTTGCCATCAGCAGTGGCACGATCCTTCTCGACCTGGAGAAGTTCTACGACAGCATTTCAATCCCTTTATTGTGCAAGGCGGGGTTGCAGCAGGGTTTCCCAGCCATCATCTTGGCGCTCGAGCTCCAGATGTTCTTGGCGCCTCGCTACTTGAAAGAACGCAGCTGGGTGTCTAGAGAGATATTACCTTCCAGATCATTGGTGGCGGGTTCGCCTCACGGAGGCAAACTTGCGAAGGCCATGCTGGGGCCTCTGCTGCACCAAGCACACATTTGCTACCAGCACAGAGTCATGATCAGGACCTTCGTAGACGACGCAGTCATCAGAGTCGAAGGCACAGCCAGTCATGTGACCGACACTTTGATCGAGGCTGGCATTTTCGTAGGGCACAAGATGCAGCACGAGGCCAACCTCACCAGATCGGACAAGACAGTTGTGATCGCAAGCGCTCCATGGCCATTGGCAAGATCCGCCGCATCGCCAAGCCCCGCCGTGCTGCCCAAGGGCTCTGGCGTACTGGCTGCTCGCCCCAGGCGTTGTACGGGCACCAGCAGGTGGGCGTCCCAGAGTACGATATCACGAGCCTTCGACGGCAAGCGGGGCGATCGGTCGCTGGACACGGCCCAGGTCGATGCTTGACCACCACCTTAGCCATGGCTATGGGCGACGGAGATCCAGCCAAGGCCGTGCGTCACCAGCATTTTACAGCATGGCTGACTTTGTGGAGGCAGAACCCAGAACTCCACCCTCGCATCCAGAAGGCCTGGGACTGCGTCGCTCCGAGGATCAGGCAGGCAGGTCAGCGCAAGTGGCGACTGGCCAAGGGCCCCCTCAGCGCGACCATCGCTACGTTGCTGGACATCGGCTGGGACCCCGTGTCCGCCACCCAGTGGGACACCGACGGCGGGCACTCGTGGCTGATCCCCACGGCCAAAGACGAGAAGTTCCAGGAGATGACCAGCGACTTCACACTCCTGCTCAGTGACGTCTCCGACTCCATCGACAAGCAGTTGTGGAGGAGGGCGTCGCAACATGAAGCTGCGGAGGATCTACGTGCGGGCGCCGGCCTCCTACGCGTCTCCCGCGAGATCGAGAGGTACAGCATGGCCGACGAGTTTGGCAAGGTCGGCCTCACCATCGCCGTCGCCTCTGGAGGTCAATGGCCGAGGGTCCGACTTCGTGAGGCAGGCTACGCCGTTGCTGCCGAGTGCCCGCGATGCGGGGAGGCGGCAGAGTCACTTTTTCATCGGGTATGGAGCTGCCCAAAGAACGTTGGTCATAAGGACTACGACGACAGCGATCACCTCATCGACCAGGCCAGGGCGAACTGGGAGGCGAGCCCCTCTCTGTGGCTCAGAGGAGTACCGAGCCGCCCTGACACCTGCCCTGTTTTCGATGAGGGCAAAGCGCCTGTTTCACATGAGTTTGGCAGTTTCGCCTCCGCACCTCGCGACGCCGAAGGTTTCGTCGCTGTCTTCGGGGACGGGTCGGGTGGTGAGTTCTCGGGCGACCCTCGGCGTCGCAGGGTCGGAGCCGCGATTGTCGCGCTCGATGGCCGTCCGTTCGGCTGGGAGCCGTGTGCGGGGTTTTCGACCACCGTCCCTGGGAAGGCCCAGACGGTTCCCCGAGCCGAGCTCACAGCGTTCGCCGAGGCCCTCGAGCGGACCGTAGGAAAGTTAAGGTATATCACCGACCACCTCCCCATCCTTAGAATCTGGTCCCAAGGCGAGTGTGTGCGTCAGCTTCGGAACGGAGACCTTTGGACCAGGATCTTCAGGGCTGCCAAGGGGAGGGGCACGGAGGTAATCGTGGAGTGGATCCCGTCCCACGCGTCGGTGGATGATTTAGATTGCACCAGCGAGCGCGAAGTTTACCGTGCGATTGGCAACGAGTGTGCTGATGTGCTCGCTGGTAGGGCGGCACGACTGAATTGGAGCGAATTCACCCTCGGCTTCGTCCCAGAGACCGACCGCAGGGATGCAGAGGCGGCCCTTGTCCGCAGGAGGGCGCGCAGGGCCCTGGAGGACTGCGCTCGTGTGGACCCGTGGACCGCTGCCCGCCCCGAGCGCCCCGAGGCCCCTCCCGTGCCCGTCCTGGCCCGTGTGCTGAAATCATCCGCCCATGAGTGGCGGAGGGTCGGCCCAAAATTCGTGTGTCTGTGCTGCTCTCGGTTCGAGACGAAAGCGTCAATTAAGCAGGCGGTCCTCTCTAGCCAAGCCAGACCTCTGGGAGACGGTATTTCCCCGTTGAAGGGGCGCCATGAGATAGGAGGTCAGAGCCTCCACCCCTCCCACCGCCTCCAGTTTTGGGTGCGATATGGCCTCACTTTCTGTGCTGCGTGCGGCAAGACCGCTACCTGCGACCCCAGGTGGCTCGTCGGCCGTTGCACCCCCAGCCGCAAAGGGAACCATAATCTGTCGAGAATTCAGAACGGCCGATACCCCCACCCAGGGGGGCCGCCGCGTTTCGTTCGCGACGCCATCGTCTCCCGCCTCGCGGACGCTGCCCGCGGAGTCGGCAGCGGCAGAGGCGACCAGGGTTCGAATTCGGGGTCCGACTAACCCGTTTTGTTTTTCAATACTCCAGCTGTTTTTCATGCTCGCATTCCTCGCATTCCTCCTCCTCCTCCTCCTCCCTCGTCTTTCCCCCTCTTTGCTTTTCCCTCTCCTCATTTCCCCTCTTCGTTCCTCGTTCCTCCTCCTCCTCCTCCTTCTCCTCCTCCTCCTCCTCCTCCTCCTCCTCCTCCCTCTCCTCCCACGTCTGCCACCCTCCTTGCTCTTCCCTCTCTCCTCCTTCCCCCTCCTCCTCATCGTTTCTCCTCCTCCTCCTCCTCCTCGGCCCTCCTCCGTTTGCTTCTACGCCCTCCGCTTCCTCCTCCTGCCGTTGCTTCTCCTCCTCCCCCTCCTCCTCCTCGTCCTCCTCCTCGTCCTCCTCCTCCCCCTCCCCCCTCTTCCTCCTCGTCCTCCTCCTCCTCCTCCTCGTCCTCCTCCTCCTCCTCCCTTTTTTCTCTTCCTCCTCCACCTTCTCCTTCTCCTCCTCCTCCTCCTCCTCCTCCTCCTCCTCCTCCTCCTCCTCCTCTTCCTCCTCCTCCTCCTCCTCCTCCCCCCTTTCACCTCCTCCTCAAGCGCGCACGCGCGCTTTACCCCCGTGCGAGGGAGCGCGTGGGGTGGTGGTATGCCGCAGGATGAACAGTTGGAAGGAGGAGGAGGAGGCGGAAGAGAAGGAGGAGAATGAGAAGGATGATGATGCCGATGATGATGATGAGGATGATTATGCTGATGAGAATGATGATGCTGATGATGATGATGATGATGATGATGATGATACTGATGATGATGCCGATGCTGCTGATGATGATGGTGATGATGGTGATGATGGTGGTGATGATGATGATGAGTCTGCTGCTGATGATGATGCTGATAATGTTGATGCTGCTGATGCTGATGGTGATGGTGATGGTGATGGTGATGATGCTGATGATGAAGAAGATGATGATGCTGATGATGATGATTATGCTGATGATAATGATGATAATGATGATGATGCCGATGCTGCTGATGATGCTGATGATGATGATCATGATCATGATCATGATCGTGATCATGATGATGCTGATGATGACGATGGCGATAACGATGATGATGATGTTGAGGATGATGATGAGGATGATGATGCTGATGATGATGCTGGTGTTGATGCTGATGATGATGATGATGATGATGATGATGAATATGACGCTGATGCTGATGCTGATGCTGATGATGATGATGATGATGATGATGATGATGATGGTGGTGGTGGTGATGATGATGATGCCTATGATGATGATGCCTATGATGATGATGATGATGATGATGATGATGATGATGATGATGATGATGATGATGATGATGATGATGATGAGGAGGAGGAGGAGGAGGAGGAGGAGGAGGAGGAGAAGGAGGAGAAGGAGGCGGAGGAGGAAAGGCATTGAGAAGGTCTGTGGATCAATGATTCATTCTTTATGGATATCCGCCCGTTTTGGGCTTCCGGAGGCCTATGGAGACTTCCGTGAACCTCCAGAGACCTTCGGGCAGCAGCCATTCCATGTGTTCCAGCCCTGGGCAAGTTTTTGCATGGCCAATCTGTTCTGGGTTCGTCCCAGGGCTCGTTTCTTCCAGCAATGACCACTTGCACATGTTGCAGAATTTCCAGGTTCCGCTTGCTCCAGCTTCGCTGCAACATATTGAACGGTATGGTCGAAGGAGGGAGGATCACTTGGCGGGGGGAGGGGGTGTCAGATGTGGGTCGGGTGCGGTGGTGGTCCATACCTTTTTGGGAACTTTCGCGGCGTATCTGGCACGCATGCATCCTACAAAGCAGCAAATTCTGCAACCAGGGGTCATGGTGGTGCTGGTCAGTTACTTTTTCCCTACCTTGTTGCAGCAGGGAGCGGATATCACAAGGTGGCAGTGGCCAGCTGGACGTTGCACGAATATTGCAATGACATGGCACTTGACGAGGAATTGTTTATGCTCGCAGTCACACTGTGCTGAAAGTTAGCCCGACGATCGGAGTTGAGGCATCCGCTCGAGGCAGCGACCGGCCTGTCTTGCTGGAAGCCTCCCACGATAGGGGTTGGCAGATACGGCGGAGTATGGTGTCAGGTGCACGAGAGTGCCCATTTGGGAGTGCCCATTTGGAAGTGCAGACCTGGGAGCATGATGTCAGGTACATGGGCGTGGATCTGGAAATCAACGAAACTATGTCCGGCTGGTGTTGCGGATTGCCAGGCTCCCTCGCATGTGTCCACGGAGGCGCGTGCTTAAACCGGGCACGTTGTTCATGTTTGGTGTTTGCGTGTGCAGAGGCGAGTTTGTCTTGCTGTTGTTCCAGAAATCGGCGGTTGGCATTGCGTAGACAGCCATAGATCAAATCCAGGGTCCACTTGCATTTCGGCCCGCAAGTTCTATGACTGTCCTCATTCCCCCCTCCCCCCTCGCTCCCTCTTCCCGCTCCGAAGGCGTATTGGAGGGCTTCTTGGCTGCCGCTTTGGGGAGCTGCTCGGGAGCACCTCTCAGGGTGTCTCTGGGGGCCTCCCGGGGGCCCCGCGGATGCCCCTCTTGTCCTCCGGGGGCCGTCTGGGGCGCGCTGGCCCCCCGCCGAGCTCTCCCGAGGAGGCGCGGTCGAGCCTTCCATTGGAACCTCTCGGCGTGCTCTCGGGCAGCCTGTGGGGCCGTCTGGGGGCTCTCCTGCAGCAGCTTGTGGGCTGGTCAGAGGCGACGACAGGGGCGAATTTCGAATAGTCCAGGGGAGAGCGATACATGTATTCAGGTGCGCCGATGATCTATGTCTTCGAGAAGGCTCCCGGGCGAATGCGTGTAATGCCCGCCTGTCCAGGATCCCCCGGCCTAGGTATCTGGCATCCTCGCGCCCAGTCCAGGCGTTGGCCTCGCTCGCTCCTGGGGCCTCGGGCGGGCAGGCTTCTTCGGCGCCGCCTCGCCTGCTCCCGCGCAGCCGCTCTGCAGCCTCTGCCTGGGCAGGGGCGGTTGGGAGGGTGGGGTGTTCGGCAGGTGAGCTGCCTGCGGATCAGCAGAAGAGATTCGGCTCACACCGAACCGCCCCTTTCTGCTGGCTGGAGTCCCCAGAAGGGAGACTGGACGCCAAGGGTCGGGTGGGGGCGCTTCTCTGGGTCCGACGGCCGGAAGCCTTGTGGCATCGATATGCCTGCCGACATGTTGCTACAGGGTGGCTGCGAACGCTTCACGCCAGTGTCAGACAGTTGGGGCATGAGGTTTCCAGCCGCCTTTTCACACGTTCTCCACGGCGGCAAGCTTTGTATCATGTTGTTGCTTGCCAGCTCATCTTGTGCATTGTGCCAAGAGCTTCGTCGCAAGACCTACATTGCAGCCAGCTCTCGTTGCAGGACATCTGGGGTAAATCTGATGCGGCGCCTTGTTCAGGGTAGTTGACTTTCTTTGCCAGTAGCCGCTACACGGCCCGTAGCCTTCTATATGACAGCCCCCCTGTTTTCACCTATTCATTTTCCACGGCATGATAGGCAAACGCAGTGCCAACGTTTTGGGCAGAGGTAGTACTAAGTGGACGATCGTGTAGCTCGTCTCGGTGTATTGATCATTTGGCTTACGCCGCACCGCCGACCCCTTGGGGGAGAGTCGCTGTTGCGGCTTCTGCGTGCTTCGTGACTTATGCTTGCATGTATATCGAAGACGCCTACGGCGAGTCACCGCCGCCCCCTGTCCTTTCGGAAGCGCCTATTTGGCCAGAGCCCTGCCAAGCTATCGGACCATGTGTTCCCCGAATCGGTTTGGAAAGCTTTGGGGGAACACGTGGGGGAGGACGGGGAGGAGGAGAGTACGGAATGGGCGTGTTTGGAGCCCCTTGGGCGTGTTCGGGGCCCTTCGGGCCTTCCTGGAGGACGTCTTTGAGGGGTTCTTGTGCCGTCTTGGAGGCCTCTCGCGGGCCTTTTGGGCAGTCTAAGGCCACCTTGAGGCCATCTGGGGCCGTCTTGGGTCATCTTGGGGCCATCTTCGCTGTCTTGGAGGCCTCCTTGGCCGTCTTGGAGGCATCTTGGAGGCCATCTTGGGCCGTCTTGGGCTCTTCTTGGGGCCCTCTTGGGGGCCTCTTGGGCTGTCAGAGGGCCATCTTGGAGGCCTCTTGGGACGACGTTGGGGACCTGTTGGGTCGTCTTGGGCCGTCGAAGAGCTGATAAGAAGTAAATGCCAAAATCGTTCAAACACCTTTTGATAATCAATGATGTTTGCCCTTTCGGGCCTTCATGGATGACGTCTTGGAGGCCTCTTGGGGCCCTCTTGGGCAGCCTTAGGCCATCCTGGAGCCATCTTGGGCCGTCTTGGAGGCTTCTTGGACGAACTTGAAGGCATCTTGGACTCTCGGGCCGTCTTGGAAGCTATCTTGGACCATATTTGGCGACTTGGAGGCCATCTCGGGCCATCTCGGAGGGCATCTAGGGCCAACGTGACCATCGTAGAGGCCATCTTGAGCCGTCTTGGAGAGTTTGTTGCGGTCGTTGAGGTGCTTTCCGGGCCTTTCCGGGACCCTGGCGGGATCGTCCGAAGCCCCAGGGGGAGTTCTTTTGGAAAAGAACGAAAACCAAAATCGAAAGGATCTAGCACGCCGGGCACCCCTGTGGCAAGCCAACAGGGGGCGGCGGATCGAAGACGCCTACGGCGAATCACCGCCGCCTCCTGCCTTTTTGGAAGAGCCTGCGTGGCCGAAAGTTGGGTTTGAGCTTGGCCAAGCTATCGGGCCACGCGTTCCCCGAGAGGGTTTCGATAGCCTTCGGGGAGCACGGAGTCGGGCGTGCTATCGGACCAGGTGGTTTCCGAGCTTTCGGGCCTCGTGGAGGACGTCTTGGAGGGGTCTTGGGCCATCGTGGAGGCCTCTGGCGGGCCTTTTGGGCAGTCTAAGGCCATCTTGAGGCCATCTCGGGCCGTCTTGGGTGCATCTTGGGGCCATTTTCGTCGTCTTGGAAGCATTCTCGGCCGTCTTGGAGGCATCTTGGAGGCCATCTTGGGCCGTCTTGGGCTCTTCTTGGGGCCCTCTTGGGGGCCTCTTGGGCTGTCATGGGGCCATCTTGGAGGCCTCTTGGGACGATGTTGGGGACCTGTTGGGTCGTCTTGGGCCGTCGAAGAGCTGATAAGAAGTCTTGGAGGCCATCCTGGGCGTCTTGGGGGCCTCTTGGGCCGTCTTGGGGTCTTGTTGGGGCCCTCTCGGGGACCTCTTGGCCTGTCATGGGGCCATCTTGGAGGCCTCTTGGGCGCTGTTGGCCTCTTGGGTCGTCTTGGGCCGTCGAAGAGCTGATAAGAAGTAAATGCCAAAATCGTTCAAACACCTTTTGATAATCAATGATTTTTTGCCCTTTCGGGCCTTCATGGAGAACATCTTGGAGGCCTCTTGGGGCCCTCTTGGGCCGTCTTAGGCCATCTTGGAGCCATCTTGGGCCGTCTTGGAGGCTTCTTGGACGAACTTGGAGGCATCTTGGGACTCTCGGGCCGTCTTGGAAGCCATCTTGGACCATATTTGGCGACTTGGAGGCCATCTCGGGCCATCTCGGAGGGCATCTAGGGCCAACGTGACCATCGTAGAGGCCATCTTGAGCCGTCTTGGAGAGTTTGTTGCGGTCGTTGAGGTCCCTTGCGGGTGGCCGGCGTGACGGGCCGAAGCCCCAGGGAGAGTTCTTTTGGGAAGAGAGCCAAAACCAAAAGCGAAAGGATTCAGGAGAGAGCCAAAACCAAAAGCCAAAACCAAAGCACCCCTGTGATGAATCAACAGGGGGCGGCGGATCGAAGACGCCTACGGTGAATCACCGCCGCCGCCTGCCTTTTTGGAAACGCCTATGTGGCCTAACGTTGTGGCCAGAGTCCTGCCAAGCTATCGGACCATGCGTTCCCCGAATCGGTTTGGAAAGCGTTCGGGAAGCACGGTGGGGGAGGAGGAAGGAGAGGAGAGGCAGGAAGAATGAGAAGGGAGAAGGAGGCCTCTTGGACGCCTCTTGGGCTACTCTAGGGTTTTATTGGGCCATCTTTACGGTCCTGGAGGCACCTTGGGACTGTCTTGGAAGCCATTTTGGGGCTATATTGGGGCTTCTTGGGGCCATCTGGATCATCTTGGACGCATCTTGGAGGCCATCTTCGGCCACGTTGGCCGTCTTGGAGGCGTCTTGGGACCGTCTTGGAGGCCATCTTGTCCGTCTTGGAGGGATCTTTCGTGGACTTTGAGGTCCTGTATGGTCTCTCCGCCGCTCTTGAGAACCAAAACCGAAAGCGAAAGGATTCAGCACGCCATGCACCCCTATGATGAATCAACAGGGGGCGGCGGAAACCGCCTATGTGGCCGAGAGTTGGGCCAGAGCTCGGCCAAGCTATCGGGCCAGTTGTTTCCGAAGTCCGTCTGGAAAGACTTCGGGGAACGCGTAGGGGAGCAAGAAGTGGAGGAGGGGGAGGATCAGGAAAAAGGAAGAGGAGGAGGCCTCCTGGGCGCCTCTTGGGGCACTCTTGGGGCCTCCTGGGAGCTTGCTGGGGGCCTCTTGGAGGCCTCTTTGGGGCCTCCTTGGGCCTGCTGGGGGCCTTTGGGGGCTTCTTGGGGGTCTCTGTGGCCGTCTTAGGGCGTTCCTGGCTTGTCTGACGCCGTCGGAAGCCGTCATGGGGGTCTGTCTGGGTCGTCTAGGGGCCCTCTTGGGGCATTTCAGGGCACTCTTCGAGGCCATCTTGGGCGTCTTGGACGCCTCTTGGGCCGTTTGGGGGCCCTCTTGGGGTCGTTTGGGGGGCTTTTCGGAACGTGATGGTGCCATCTTGGAGGCCTCATGGGCGATCTTGGGGCGATCTTGGGGGCCTCTTGGGCCGTCGGAATGCCGAGGAGAAGCAAATGCCAAAATCCTTCAACACCCTACGGAAGAACAATGACTTTGGTCTCTTCGGGCCCTCCTGGAGGCCTCTTGGGCCGTCCTGGGCGCCTCTTGGGGGCCTCTTGGGCCGTCTGAGGCCGTCTTCGATGCATCTTGGGCCGTCTTGGAGGCATCTTGGGGTCATCTTAGCTGTCTTGGAGGCCATCTTGAGCCGTCTTGGATGCCTCTTGGGGCCCTCTTGGGGCCGTCTCGGGGGCCTCTTGGGCCGTCATGGGACCATCTTAGAGGCCTCGTGGGCCATTTGGGGGCGATCTTGGGGGCCTCTTGGGCCGTCTTCAGCCGTCGGAATGTTGAGAAGAAGCAAATGCCAAAATCCTTCAAGAACCTACGGAACATACATGATATTGGTCTCTTCGGGTCCTCCTGTAGGACCTCTTGGAGGCCTCTTGGGCCGTCTTGGAGACCTCTTGAGGGCCACTTGGGCCGTCTTGGGCAATACTTAGGCCATCCTAGGCCGTCTTGGGTGCATCTTGGGCCGTGTTGGAGGCATCTTGGGGTCATCTTAGCTGTCT